CCTTCAAGTCTGGAATTAAAAGCATGCACCACTACGCCTGGCCTTTAGTTCTCTCTCAATAAGGACTCAGTGTATTCATGAATAATAATCATTTCTTTCTTTAGAAATGACTTTAGATTTTTGTTATTTTGAAGATTGAATATTTAGAATGGAAAGGAGGATTCTGGGAAGACAGTGGATTAGGAAACCAGGAGGCATCATTTCCTCTCCTAGCTTGGAGTTGTTTGTGCGGAATCCAACTAATGAGACTCGTTTGGACCTCAAGGCTATTAACTTGTGACTTCTAGAGACAGTTTGATGGTAAAATGTGGGAGATTTGGTCAATTTTAGTCTTTAACAGAATAACAGATACCTGTGTTTTACCCCTTGCCCTGTGGAAAGCAGTTATGTCCCTGGAACACCTTGTGTTTCAGGATCCAGAGTGGTTAAAAAGAACTCTGTCCTCTGAGTGTTTGGGAGGTAGGTTCTCACTAACCCGGACAGCTGCCTCTGACCACAGATGTGTCAGCAAGGTAGGTGGCCATTTTGAACTTTCCTTACTCTTGTAGAGCCCTCCCTCTCCGGCTGAAGTATTGCAGGGTATTTGAAGAATTGGTTCAGTGTTTGAGAGTGTGTGCTGCCCCTGCAGAGGACCCAGCTCTGGTTCTCAGTGCCACACCAGGCATCTCAGAGCCACCTGGAACTCCAGCTTCAGGGCATCCAGAACCCACACAGACACATACATATAATTAAAAGTCAAAGCAATCTTATTTTTTGAAAATACATTTCTCTTCATAAAATATTCTAATCATAGTTTCTCTCCCCTCATCTCTTCCCAGATCCTCCTCACCTTCCTACCATCTGTCTTAGTTAGGGTTCTTATTGCTGTGAAGAGACACCATATAAAGGAGAACATTTAACTGGGGTGGTTCACTTAGAGTTTCAGAGGTTCAGTTCATTGTCATCATGGCAAGGAGCATGGCAGAGTACAGACAGACACAGTGCTGGAGAAGTAACAGAGTCCTACTTCTTGCAGGCAACAGGAAGTGGACTGTGACACTAGGAGTAGCTTGAGTTTCGGAGAGCTCAGAGCCCACCCCCACAGTGACACAAGGCCACACCTCCTAAGAGGTGGTCATTATCTTTCAAACCACCACCCATTCACACTTTCTTCTTCTCTTTCCTGAGAAAATAAAATAGAACTAACAAAACAAAATAAAAAACAACCCAAAATAAAACAAAACAAAAAATGTGAAAAACACAAATGCAGATACACAACACGCGCGCGCGCGCGCGCGCGCGCGTACACACACACACACACACACACACACTCCATTAAAAACAAAACCAGAAACCATAATATACAAACAAAAGACTAGTAAGGTTAAAAAATACCCAAATAAACAATGTGAGACCCACCCACCCCCCAAAAAAAAATTCTCCAAAAATACTATTGAGTTTGTTGTTGTTTTTTCCATCTACTGCTAAGCATGGGGCTTGCCCTTAAAGATGGTTTGTATGGGGGCTGGAGAGATGGCTCATCAGTTAAGAGCACTGACTGTTCTTTCAGGGGTCCTGAGTTCAAATCCGAGTAACCACATGGTGGCTCACAACCATCTGTTATGTGATCTGGTGCCCTCTTCTGGTGTGCAGATATACATGGAAGAAGAATGTTATATACATAATAAATAAATAAATAAATAAATAAATAAATAAATAAAATCTTTTAAAAAAAGGATGGTTTGTATGCTCAGTGACACTCTGTTGGAAAAAACTTAATTTTTCCTTTTCGAGCAATGTCAATCGAAGGTAGCTTTTTGATTAGGGATAGGAGTTTGTGTCCACTTCCCATTTTCAGGGCTGGCACTCCATTTGACTTGGAACTGTGTAGGCATGCTGCCACAGTTTCTGTGTGTGCGTGTTTGTCAGTCCTGTTGTATCTGGAAGGTGCTGTTTTTCTGGAAGACATTCTATCCCCTCTGACTCTTATAATCTTTCCAATTCCTCTTCTGTAGCGCTCCCTTATCCCTGAAGGGAGGGGTTTGATAGGACTGAGTGTTCAATTGTGGGTTTGTTCCCATCTACTTCAGGAGGAAGTTTTTGATGATAGCTTAGTGAGATGAGTAAAGGCACTTGCTGCCAAGCCTGATGACCTGAGTTCAATCTCTGGAGCCCACATGGTGGAAGAAGAGACCCAGCACCAGTCAACTGTCCTTGGACCTCTGCACATGCTGTGGTACACCCTCCCTGACACACTAAATAAATGCTAACAATTTAGTGTTCAATTAAGGGATGAGGATATAGCTTAGTGGTGGACCCTTTACCTAGCATGCCCAGGATTGTAAGTTCAATATTCAATACTGAAAACACAAAAGAAAAAAGGTGAATTTTTGGCACAACTAACAACGTACATCACTGTAAAGAACAAATAAAAGAGCAGGAGAGATTGCTTAGTGCTTAATAACACGTATGTCTGTTGCAGACGACTGAAGCCTGTTCCCAGTCCTATGTGGGGCTGTTGGCAAGCAGCTGCAACTCCAGCTCCAGGGAGATCTGACGCCTCTGTCCTCCATGGGAACTGTTCATAAGTTCATGCATATGTCTGTGCAAACATACACATAACTAAAATAATAAAAATAAACCTTAAAAAATAAGTAACACTAACTTCACTTTGATAACAAAGCCTGACAGAGATACCAGATAAAACTTTACAGCATCATTCCTTGTGAACATCACTATAGAAATCCTCAAAAAATGCTAGCAAACTGATTCAGTAGGAGGTTCAAAAAATTATATACCACGATCAAGGTCAAATTGATCCCTGGAATGTAAGGGTAGTTTAATGTGTGAAGAGCACTGTGAGACCTGGGATCAGCTCAGCTGGTAGAGGGCTTGCCTAACATGTGTGCAGCTCTGAGATTGATCCCTAGACTGCAGCAAACTGAAAGGGTTAAAAATCAGATAAGATAATCCTCAGCAACCCCCCACCACCACCACCTCTGAGTTACCCAGTTCTACCCTGATCCAAGAAATTTAAAAACCAGACCACTTTCAGGAAAAGTGAAAAGGTCACGGTGCAACCCCGAGACAATAGAATGTTCCCATCTCATGACAACCAATGAAAATATGTAACTCTTTCCCAGTTCTGAACAACCAAGGCATGCACCACACTGCTTGTGTTTTTTTTTCCTTTATAAACCCCTTACAATTGAGGCCAGGCACCCTTTTCCTGCAGCTGCAGTGCCAGTTTGCTGGACGGGGTCCCTGCCAAGGCTTGTAAATCAATATTAAACCTTTTGTGTTTGCATCAGTGAGTTGGCTCCTTGGTGGTCTTTTTGGGGTCTCACGAATTTGGCATAACACAACCCTGGCCCAGTGGCAAATTCCCATAATCCTACCACTTGGAGGTAGGAGTAGGAGGTTCAAGAAGTTCAGAGTTAGCCAGGCAGTGTTGGCGCACGCCTTTGATCCCAGATCTGGGGAGGCAGAGGCAGGCTGGTCTACAGAGCAAGTTCCAGTACAGTCAGGGCTATACAGAGAAACCTTGTTTCAAAAAATCATGAAAAGAAAAAGAAATCCAAAGTCATCCTCAAGTTTGAAGCTACCCTTGGTTGCATGTGCCTATCTCAGAGAGATGACAAATAAATACGGTAATTGACGTGGAATTACAGACACGCACTGTCACGCCTGTCCTGGAAGCAGAAAGTCAAGAGGTATTTGAACATTCTTCATAGCATTATTTACAGTATCTACACTGAGAAACAAAATTCTTTATGAAAAGATGACTGGATATTGTCAGGATAGCTGGGTGTGGAGGCAGGGGCAGGTAGATCAATGTAAATTCAAAGCCAGCATGGAAAGTGAGACCCTGCCTGGAAATAAAGAAAAAAGACAGGGTAGTAGAATACCTGTGGCTGAAAGTGGCAAGAAGGATGTCTGGGGGAGAAGGAAGGGAGGTGAGGGGACTAGAGCATATAATGATATGTCTGTGTGAAAATGCAGTAGGAAAACCCTTGGCTTTATGTGCTAACTTTAAAAAAGAACAGGAGAGCCCGGGTGGCGCACGCCTCTAATCCCAGCACTCGGGAGGCAGAGGCAGGAAGATCTCTGTGAGTTCAAGACCAGCCTGGTCTATAAAGCTACACAGAGAAACCCTGTCTTAAAAAAACAGGAGTGGATAGAGCCAGGTATGATGGCGGTGACAATAATCCCAGCATGTGGGAAGCTGAAGGGGGGGGATGAGCAGTTTGTTGAAAGACATCCTGGTAGTATAGAGAGACCCTGTCTCAAAGGTAAAAGCATCTGTGACAACAAACTGTGTGGCTATATAAAGGGATGACATGAGGAGATTCTGATGGTTGCCACAGCATGTTTCATGGACTTTGTGACATTGTGTTAGGTAATATGGCAGTTGGAAAAAGACAAACAATAAGGCCCTTAGAATCGTAGATGTCTAAGAACAGAGTTGCCAGGAGCTGGGTGGGGAGGGGTTCCGTGGGAGAATGGGGCTTATTGATTTTGGGGGTTTTTGTTTGTTTGGTTTTGGTTTGCGGTGCCTAGCCCTGGCTACCCAGGAACTCTCTCTCTGTAGACCAGGTTGGCCTTGAAGAGACCCGCCAGCCTCTGCCTCACCAGTGCTGGGATTAAAGGTGTGCCCACCACCACTGCCTAGTGGGGCTTATTAATTGATGGGTGTGAAGTTCCCACTTTACTGCATGAAAATAATTCTGCAAATGGAGGATAATGATGGATGACTATACGTTTTGGATATACTGTATACAAAAATGTACACAAAATGTAATTTGGGGTTCTATATGTTTTATAATAACAGTAATGATAAGGTAAAGATGTTAGAAACATTTGTCTTTCTGACTTGTACACATTTCCAGTCAGGAATTTATATGCTATAGCTCAGGGACTTACTTTCATGGTTCGGACTTTACAGCTACTTTTTTTTTTTTTTTTTTTTTTTTTAATGCCTCTGGTCACAGGTGATTTGATTTTGACGTGTCTTCCTTTAGGGGAAGACAGAGTCTATCACTGTGGTGAAGCTGCTGAGCTGCTTTGATGACCTTGTGGCAGCAGGTACTGCTTCTGGGAGAGTTGCAGTTTTCCAGCTCGTGTCTTCATTGCCAGGGAGGAACAAGCAGGTGAGTGGTCGGGTTCTGCCATTGCTTCCCTTCTTGGCAGGTTCCTCATGGAGTTTTTCAGGTGAAAGGTCCTTAGAGCTGGGTGTGGTGGCGCACGCCTTTAATCCCAGAACTCCAAAGGCAAAGACAGGTAGGTCACTGTGAGTTTGAGGCCAGCCTGGTCTATATAGTAAGACCCTGTCTCAGAGAGAGAGGGAGGGAGGGAGGGAGGTGGGTGGCGGTCCTTTGTTCCTGCTTGGAACATTAGACATAAAGTAACAAATCGCTCTTATTTTTACATAATGCCCTCTTGTGTTCTTTTCGAGTTTGTAAAAAATTGTAGTGTGTGTGTTTGTGTGTACACATGTACTACAGCTCATGTATGGAGATCAGAGAATAATTTGGGGGAGTCATTTCTTTCCTTCTACTGTATGGGTTCTGGATGGATGGATGGATAGATAGATAGATAGATAGATAGATAGATAGTTGTGTACAGTTCTATGTAAAATCAGCTTCTCCCAAAGTAGGAGTGACATTCACATAAATGCAGTCACTCAGCTAGCCTTTCCTTGTGCTCTGTTGTCACCCATAGCTTCGGAGATTTGATGTCACTGGTGTTCATAAAACCAGCATTACAGCTCTGGCTTGGAGCCCCAATGGGATGAAACTGTTCTCTGGAGATGACAAGGGGAAGATCGTCTACTCCTCTCTAGATCTAGACCAGGTAAGGTGATTTTCAGGGAAGTTGTCCATTGTCTTCTTTTATCATGGTGTATTACAGTCTTGCTTACATTTCAGTGGCTTGTGCTCTCCACCACTGTGCCCTTAGGCTGCCAATTGTTACAGCATTTTCTCTAAACGTTTCTAGTGTCTTATAAGCTTCTACTGTCACTAAAGAGTGGGTCTGCAAAACCAACAGTAAAATTATACATATTTGAGTCAGACATGGCAATGCCCTGTAATTGCAGCACTTGAGAGTTTAAGTAGGAGGGTCTCCCTGAGTTTAAGGCCAGCCTGGGCTGCATAGAAAGTGCCTGGCCAGCTAGAGATGCATAATGAAATCTACCTCAAAATGAACAAAGGAACAAAGTGTACATGTTTCCAGTCATGTCTGTGGACAAAGGGTAGTGATCCAGTGAACGGAAAACTTAACATCTTGCCAACATCTTCCACAGAAGACCTGTGTGGGAAGTGGTAGGAGGAGGAAAGACTTGACAGTAGCCTGGTATTCTACCCTAAGCACATACCATTGTTACGATAAATCTTTCTGCCAGATGCCGCCTGAGCCCCACCGCCACGTGTGAGCTTTATGCCAGCCGCCTGAATGAATACACAGGCCCAAATGAATACACAGAAACTTGTATTAGGTTCAAAGCAGCTTGGCCAATGACTAGGACTTCTCATCTGCTAACTCAGTCTTAATTATCATAAACCTATATATTTTATAAGACTTATCTTATTGGTCCCTCCTTGCTGGGATCACATCTTGCCTCTGGAGCAGGAGAAGAGGGGAAAAAGGGGGCCCTTCCTGTTTCTCCTTCGCTTAAATATGAGTCTCCTTGCTATGTCACTTCCTGTCTGGATCACCACTTCTCTACTACATTTCCCAGAATCCTCTGACTCCTAGTCCCATCTAACTTGCTGTCTCTTTGGCCAAACAGTACTTTATTCAATAATCAATAAGATAAACATACACAGAAGTACATTCCTCATCATACCATCTCAGATGTTCTTCATCATAGTGCCTGGGGTTGCATGTAGTTTAATTTTTTTAAACATTTATTTTTTATGTGAGGCCTTATATACTGTCCAGTGTTTGTGTGGCGGTCAGAGCACAGCTGGTAGGAGTCAACTCTCCTTCCACCCTGTGGGTCCCAGGGATCAAATGCAGGTCATCAGGCTAGACAGCAAAGCACCCTGACCCACGGAGCCATTCGGCAGCCTCTCGGTATGTTCTTGTTTCCAGGGTTCAGCCAGGGGCTCAAGCAGGGACCTGGCAGACTTGTGTCACATAGGCTGTGCTCAAAGCCCATGATTTTCCTGCTGCAAACCAGGCTCGGTGATGCCTCTGTCGTGCTCTGTCATGTGCTTGCCGGATGGACTAAACATTCCCTCTTCGTTCCCTGTGTCAAATTCTAAGAATTTAGGGTTTGCTCATTTGTTTATTGTTTTGTTTTGAGATAGCTGCTATGCCTAGCAGAACTTAACTATTTTATTAGCCCTCTAGTCTAAGACTGAACTATTACTAATACTCCCTAGTTGTAGTTCCCAAACTTTCTGGTCTCAGAACCTTTTATGCTCTTAGAAAGATGACCCCAAAAGTTTTTGTTTGTATGGAGTATATCTATAAAATATACCTTGTTAGAAATTTAACTCAGAACTGGAAAGGTAGCTCAATGGGTGAAGTCACCTGCTGCAACGGCTGATGACCTGAGTGTGATTCAGAAAGGAATTGATTGACCCCTTTAAGTTGTCATTTACCATTCACAAGTGTCCTGTGGCATGGGCATGCAGCTCCCCAAGTAAATATAATAAGAAAAGTAATTAAAACTGACTGAGTACTTGGGAGCCAGAGGCAAATGGATTTCTCTGAGTTGAGGTCAGCCTGGTCTACATACTGAGTTCTGCATAGTGAGGGATAGCCAGGGCTGCATAGTGAGACCCTGTCTCAAAACAAAATCCAAGAACAACAAAACAAGCTGACAAATTTAAAAACCATTTGTCATTATTTTTATGTAGAGTGGGACTCATGATCTAGGCTTTGCCTATAGTAGGAAGCATTCACCATTGAGCTGTGTTTCTAGCCCTTAGTTGTATAAAACCGCACTGCAAATTAACGTAAAACAACATGAGAACTGTGGCCTCACAGTCTGTGGTGTGCATCTCCCAAGACAGCTGGCCTCTGGTCTCCGTTTTGTTTGGAGTCTATAAAGAACACACAGCGTCACAGAGACGAGTATTGGAAATGGTGTGAGTGTTTGACTGGACTTCTCATATTACTGTGGATGTTCTGTTTTATTTAAACTTCCACCCTGAAAAACAGTCACTCTGGAGGCAAAGGCAGGTGGATTTCTATGAGTTTGAGGCCAGTCAGGTCTGCAGAGTGAGTTCCAGGGCATCCAGGGCTACACAGAGAAACCCTGTCTTGAAAAAAACCAAACCAAACCAAAACAAACAAAAAAATTACATGGAGGTTTCTTTCCTTTCCCTTCTTTCCCTTCTCCCTCCGTTGCGCCCTCCCTCCATCTCCTCCTTCCCCTCCCCTCCCTCTCCCTCTGTCTCCCCCTGCCTCTCTCTCATGTGTATGACCTAATGAGTTTAATTAGGGTTGCTTACTTGGATATGAATGTCGGAGGTTATTTACAGGAGCACAGGCAACTTACTAGTGGCTACACTACTGAAGAAAATCTCTCCCCAAGCGAGCACTGACTGCCAGGAACCCCTTATGGGGAGACAGGGTCTCGTGAGTCTCTCCCCTGTCCATTTTGGAAGGCAGATGAACCCAATCTTACACTAGTCTTGTGTAGATAGATAGTCATAGCTATTATGAGTTCATGACCATATCATGTAGTACAAAAATAAAAACCCGGAGACATATATTAGGGTTCAAGCTGAAGATCAGAAAAGCACAGCAGCCTCAGACTGAAAGGGCTGATCCTGTTTCCACGAATCCTCAGACTACTTCTGCAGTCTGAATGCCACATGAGACCCTGAGATCCTGTCTTATACTCCTCTCTAGTGCTGGGATTAAAGGTGTGGCCACCACTGCCTGGCCTCTATGGCTGTGGCTAGCTTAGCGTTCTGATCTTTAGGCAAACTTTCTTAGTTATGAACAGGATACCACCACAATATCATGCCCAGAAGATACCATTCCACAGCCCTCTTCCCTGTCTTGAGGCTCTTCTATCCTTTCTGACCCCCTCTTCTGGGATGGTCCTTGTGCCTTAAAGTGGATAATATAGATGTCCTATTTAGGGCTTAGCATTCAATATTCATGTATTCTCAGCACTTTGACCAGTTTTGGACTTTTGCTAAAAGAAGCTTCTCTGACTAACACCGAGAGAAGCACTAATAATCTAAGGGCACAAACACAAATATTTAGAAGGTAGTTTGTTAAGTACAGCATGTCCATTTCGCCAAACAGCAATAGTAGCTTCCCCGCTAGTGCCTATGACCTTTCCAGCCGTGGGCTTTTGACCAGATTTGTAATAACAGGCATGAACTCCCTCCCGTGGGATGGGCCGTATACCCAAGCAGAGACTGGTTGCTGCTATTCACCTGTGGCAACTTTGCCTGATGGGTACGTAGTATAGCACACAGGGTCCAAAACTGGGTGGGACTGCTGATTATTTTTCCTCTATAAACCTGCATAGTACCACTTTCTGGCACTCTTAAAACAAGATGGCAAGGAGTAAGCTCCCAGCTCATTCTTGTTTGATTTCTTTGTGCCCTGCAACCTGAGCATGTAGTGTCTTCAGTGATAGGGTCTTATCATCTAGTTTTAGTTGGAGAGATGCTGTTGTAGTCAGTATTGTATTGCTCTGAAGAGACACCATGACCAGGTAACTCTTAAAAAAGAAAGCATTTAATTGGGGGCTTGCTTCCAGTTAGTTCACTGTCATTATGGGAAGCAGACAGTCATGGCACTGTACCCTGATCTGCAGGCAGCAAGCAGAGGAGGGAGAAAGACTGAGCTTAGCATGGGTGTTTGGAATCTCAAGCCCACTCCCAGTGACACACTTCCTCTAACAAGGCCACACCCATATGAGCCTATGGGGGCCATTCTTATTCAAACCACTGCAGATATCTTAGAGATTAAGGAGCTGGTTGTCTTCCCAGCACTCAACGGTGGTAGTCAACAACTGTCAGTAACCCAGTCCTGGATTACCCAGCACCCTCTATGATCTCTGGGAATGAGGCACCCACGTGGTGCATAGACCTTCAGATACATAAAAGAAATCTTTCAAAAGTAATGGCTGTGGCATATGTTATTCCTAAGGCTTCTGAGGACTGCTTCACAGGCAACTCAGAGAGGCCGTCTACCCTGTGGCTGCAGGGAACTGCTTTATCACGTGGGGTTTTCTTTTTTCTTTTCCTTTTTTTTTTTCTTTTGTTTTTCAAGTCCGGGTTTCTCTGTGTAACAGCCCAGGCTGTCCTGTAACTCACTTTGTAAACCAGGCTGGCCTCAAACTCTCACAAAAATCCACCTGCCTCTGCCTCTGGAGTGCTGGGATTAAAGGTGTGCACTGAAAGACCCCCGGAAGCTCAGGCCTCCAGGATCTCAGCCCAGGACTGCGGTCACCCCAATCACCAGGTGGAGTCGAAAGCTTGATGCAAACTGCACATGGTTTTATTATAGTTGTTTAACGAGCTAACCCCATGTTAGCTCGGGTCTCTCACCCACCCGCCATGGCGGATGGCTGGCAAAGACAGCTGGAAGCATCTGTGTAGAGACCTTGTAGGGCAGCGTAAGGGGAGTGTCTAGGGGTACGCACAGGCTCAGGATTGGTGTGCCTCCAGGCTTGGAGGGCTTGCCCTGTGTTGATTGGTCAACTGGTTGATATGGCCCATAGGCCCTCCCAGGGTGGTTTCTATGCTCTGTGCATTATTGCTGTGCGCTTGTCCGTAAAGCACACCCAGAGCCTTAAAGCATAGCACCACCAGCTAACTTCTGTTTGGTTCCTGGGGAAGAGGCAGGCCTCTGACCTCTTAGTGACCAAGGCA